TCAATGAACATAACCACCACCTCATCAATGACTTTACTATAAAGCAGGTAATTTCAAAGCAGACATCCTCAGACCCTAGACACTTCTGTCCAAAGGTAGTGGCACCTCCCTTGGGCAAAGAGGGAATGGGAAATGATTCTTAGACACATGGTGAACCCATGAAGAAGAGTCCCTGGGACAAATCCATGCTTGGGGTGGCGGGAACATGGGGTGGCCCAGAGCTAGCCCAGGGCCCAGCTGGTCCCCCACCACTCTTCAGGCAGGTGAGTAACCACACATCCAACCTCCTGTCAGTATCAACAGAAACTGACCCCTGGCCCTCATCTATCACCAAGACCTCCCATTCCCATCCTTTAGCTGCAGCTCTTATTAAACCCGAATTCTAGAACCTGCAGCAGCAGCGGCAGCAATATATAACTAGCTTCTCTTTGCTCCCACAGATGAGGCAAGGGGCATTCCTTGTTAATGCAGCCCGCGGTGGCCTGGTGGACGAGAAGGCCTTGGCGCAGGCCCTTAAGGAGGGCAGGATACGAGGGGCAGCCCTTGATGTGCATGAATCGGAGCCCTTTAGGTGGGTGTGTGTCCAGCCTGACTCTAACGTCCTGCCAGGAGTGTGGAGGACCCAGACCTGACCCTCTACACTTTAAATCTGAGGCACTTTACTAGGCAAGATTTTTGGGGGTAGGACATTCTGCAGATGAAGATTATAGTCTTTCTTCTGAAGACTGCGATGTTCTTGTTTGTTTAGCCAAAAGATCCCCCAAAGGTCATCAGAGAAGGGAGAGTCGAACACAATATGGTGGTTTGGAGCTGTAGACAGCAGTCACTTCTCTGCGGGCATATTCCTTCTGGTTAGAGGAAGGCAACTCTGAATAGAATTGGCCTTTCTTTTTCTGTCTGATCCTCCTGTTCTTATAGTTAGGGGCTAGGATTCTATAACATTCCCCAATGAAATACAGCACAGAACACACCCACTCCACAGAGCCCCCCAGCTTGTCCATGTGGCCCAGAGTTCCCAGCTGACAAGTACTACGGTCACCAGGTCTTAACTTTTCCCATTTATTGAATGCCTTTGCATTTGTCTAGCTTTGCTCAGGGTCCTTTGAAAGATGCACCAAATCTCATCTGTACCCCCCACACGGCCTGGTATAGTGAACAAGCATCACTTGAGATGAGAGAGGCAGCTGCCACAGAGATCCGCCGAGCAATCACAGGTGAGCCCTCCATACCTCCAAGCCAGCTGCAGCCCAGCTGGTGGAAAGGAGAAAACAGCCACACAGCGGAGCTCCCCAAGGGCTACAGGTGGCTACAGAATGAGTTGTTATAGTCAATAAATTGAATTGTGTGTGAATTGGGCTCAAATTCTGAAGTAAATTTCAGAGGAAATCCCTTCCCTCTAGCCTCAGCCACTGTACTTGTTACAAACTGAAGAGGGCGACCCCCAGAGATGGGCGGGAGGTTCATTTTCTTCTGCACCATAAGCCTCCAAGTAATATTGAACTCACTGTGACTGCACTCTTTGCACATGAATGATCAATTTTAACCCTCTTATCTCTAGGTCGCATCCCAGAAAGCTTAAGAAACTGTGTCAACAAGGAATTCTTTGTCACATCAGCTCCTTGGTCAGTAATAGACCAGCAAGCAATTCATCCTGAGCTCAATGGTGCCACATACAGGTGAGAAGAGAAACTGAATTTGTCTTGAACTACTAGCATTGTGCCCTTGGGGACAAAAGGAGGCAAGAAAAGCCCAAACTTGCAGTGATTTTGGTAATAAAGAAAAATCAGCCTTTTATTGGGAATTGTGTACATTATCCTCACTTTTGATGCCAAATCCCATAGAATAAACACAACTTGAAGGAAACAGTCACTCAAACTGGTATGAGCACCATGCCAGGAATCTCTCCTTCTCCTGAAGCCACTGTAAAATCTGTTTCTAGAAGAACGACTGTCAAGGGGAAAGGCCTGTTTATTCTTGCAAAAGAATGTGAAAATCAACTAGGGACAATGGCCTTTTCTACACACACACACAATCAATAATAGGTGCATGGCTGTAATCCCAGTGACCTGGGACACTGAGGTAGTATCACAAGTTTAAGGTCAGCTTCAGTAACTTTCAAAAATGGCCAGTGATATAGCAAGTCAAGTGTCCCTGGGTCATATCCCCAGAAAGGGGGTAGGGGGAAAATGCACACAGTTTGAATAAACAGTGTGACTACTGGGGGTGGACAGAAATGGGCTCCCTGAAGACAGCAGTAATGTCCTGTCTTCTGTCCCCTTCCCCACCCTAATTACTGCTGGGTTTCAGCAAAATGAAAGAACACAGGAGGAGCTCCAGCCTTGCTCTAACCTGGGACCTCCCACCCTTGGCAGCACTTGCATTTATGGCCAAATAATTCTCTTGGAGACATTCTGTGCATCCCAAGGTGGTCAGGAGCCTCCCGGGCCTTTACTCAATAACCATCAGGAGCCCCTCCTCTATGAAAGTCTCTCCAGACATTGCTGCTTGTAGCTACTTCCAGGTCACATGGCTCTGTCTCCACTCTGCCTCATAAGCACTTTGAAGTGTCACGTCACCGCTTATGCCCATCTCTGAACCAGAATCAAATTCACTCCTGTTGGTGGCTCACCCTAGGGATTCCTTAGCAGTTTAACTGTGGCAACCAGGACCTGACAGCTTGGTGAGTGGGACACTCGTTCTGAAGCACCTATTTATCCCCTTTAAATATATTGTCACCTTGAGCCTAAGAACTGTGTGTCCTGCCTGCAATGTAACGTGAGCCCATATCTTGGCATGCATAAAATGGCAGGAGTTAGCTAAACAGCAAGTTACCAGTTTGCTGCTGTTGTCCCAGTTCACAAGAGCAGCAACTTGAGAGTATGTGCCACTAATAAAATGACCAGTGGCTTCCAAACCACAAATTTCTCAGTTTTGGAGGCTGTCAGGACAAGGTGCCAGCAAGCTTGGGTTCTGGTGAGAGTTACCAGCTTCTCTCCATGTCCATTCATAAGGGAGCTGACTGGGGTACTTATCTGACTCATGAGAAGTCTTCCCAAAGGTTCTTAAATCCTAATCTCTAATCCTTGGGGATTAGAATTTGAACAGAAGGCTTGGGAAAAGAAACAGTCAATATTAACAGTCACACTTGATTTTTCCGATAGTACTTCACAATCTGTTGGCAAATCACAAAATCAACCCAACTAGTGAACACTTTCCTAAGTCAGCCAGAAAATTCAGAGCCTGTTGGGTCACAGCATGGATAGGTATTTGCCCATAAAAGTCTTTGGCAAAAAGCCACAAAATTAAAGGTCTAATGTTGTGATTATCCCTAGGGGTGGATTGGGGGGAATAGAGGACAACAAATTTCCTGTAATACCTGAAGGGCCAAGAGCTTTTAGGCACTCTGCTCACTCACAAGGCCCCTTTTCCATGTGCTCCTTAGGTATCC